GGCTCTAAACAATCAAATAAGAGCCTACCTCAAATATTTTACTAGAAGAGGTTGTTTTGATGCTCAAATATCTTCAAATTGATCATCTCGACATCTAGATGCATAGACATGAGAAAAAAAAAAAAATTTAAGTTTTAGAAATATTGTATTTTGTAACGCATTTTTTGGACCGTCAATTTTCAAGATTTTCAAGTTTTCATAGATTTATCGATCTACATTATTTTTAAATACTTAAACTTTATAAATAAGAATAAAAATATATTTTAAAGCTATCACAAAGATTTTCACTATGAAAACAACATTTCTGGACCCTATTTCAATGTAGGCACTAACTTGAATGTTTTCCATTCAAACGGCACCCTTCGTATACAAACATATATATTTCTCAATGCTTTGATGTCTTTTTCTCGAAACGATAGAGTCGCCCTTTGTAACATTATTTTATAATATATAAATCCATTCATAGTTGGATGTCATTTTGCTCAACTTAGGCTACAAACAGGAGATTGATCCATTTTATTATGGGAAAGATTTCTATACTTCTTTGGCAGCATAGAAGATCCATGTTTCCCCAACCAGCCAGCCATCCAATTTTGATCAAGAGAGTCATTCACTGTTTGATCTTGGATCCGACGTCTTAAAGTATTTTATTTTTAGTTTTTTTATATAAATTGAGTATCACCTATAACAAATATTAAAAATAAATTTTTTATAACATATAATGACCAAAATGCCCCTTAAAATTTTCCAGGGTATTTTGGTCATTTTATTTTATTGAAATATTGTTTTTATATTTTTTTCTAGTGTGAGTTTAATAGAAGATTGGAAGTCCAAAATTTGGTGTCAAAATAGTTTATAGAAAAAAAATTTAAAATAAAATAATGTAGAACGTGACATTGTGATTGGGGCAATCTTAACCCTCCATTCAGAATGATCGGTTAGAAAAAGGGAAGTATTTCAGAATGATTGGTTAGAAAAGGGGAAGTATATAAGTTTGATGCTGTAGGGGAAGCATGGAAAGCTTGCCCTTATATTATATGGCTTTTTTTTTTTTTAATGGAGGGTTAAGATTGCTCCAATCACAATGTAGGGGAAGCATAGAAAGCTTGCCCTTATATTATATGGCTTTTTTTTTTCTTTTTTTTTCTTTTTTTTCAATAGCCTTTATTCCTAGAGAAAGAGCGATCCACTAAGTCTATAGCCAACTAGACCATTTTTGTTTATGATGTAAAAAAAATCAAAAGGCGTAACAAATTTCGACAACATATATAATTTTTATAGAATTGATTCCACATTTTTTATAGAATTTATTTTTAAGTAGCCGAAGTTCCAGTCAAGTACTCGGCTTTCTCGATCTTAATTTTTTTATTGGAAAGGTTTTCTACAAAGCATTGCAATAACTTTTAAGGATTTTTAAAAATTAATTTTACGTTTTTTTCCTTCATTCAAAGTTTTTAGGTTTTTTTTTTCTCTTTAGACTTTAGAATATCATAGTAATTTTTAAATATACAACTTCTGAGAAATATGATCAATATAGGCTCCCAAAGTAATTAGTTTAAACCTTTCATCTAAATATTTAAGATTATTTTCATAGAAAATAACTAATGGAAAAAGTTTATATAAGGTTGCAACTTTAAAATGTAGAATTATGGTTGCACTAAAAAATCTACCGGAAAACATTGTTTTAATGTTGAAAAACTTCTTAATTGAACATCTCAAAATCGAGATGTATGAATGTGAAACAAAAAAAAAAATTGATTTCCAGAAATAGTGCATCTTGTAACACATTATCTAGACCATCCATTTTCAAGATTTTCATATGTTTATAGATCTACTTGTTTTTAACCATTTTGGAGTTTAAAACTTTATAATTAGATATGAAAATAGATTTTCAGATCATCCTAAGAACTTTTTACACCAAAAATACATGTTATGATTAAATTTATAAGTGCGTCTTAATTGGATTGTTTAAGGTTGCAACCTTAGAGAAACCACACCCATAACTAAATAGTAGAACAATTATGCAATTTAGCAAACTGGAGATCTCCCAATAATGGTTTCCAAGATTCAACGAATAACTCAAATGCCCCTTAATTGGTTTTTTACCTTACTTTTGCATATTAAATAGAAAAGGGACTTCGCAAGAATCGACCACATTAACAAAGATATTTAACTAGAAAATTGAAACCCAAGCACTATTAGATCGAGGCAGACATTATTAAACCCATGAAATACCGTTATTTCTAATAAGAAATAAAAAAATAAATAAAAAGATCAACCAAATTAAATGAGAGATTTAACTAAAAAGTTGAAAACCAAGTATCATTAAATTAAGGCAGATAACCTTAAAGCCATGAAATCCTGCTAATTTAATGTTAACAAAAAAAAAAGAGTAAAAAGATGGTCCTTTTATAAGTTTAAAAAATGGATTTTCATGGAGAGCAATGGTAACCATTAAAAGATGGGTTTTCTCTCTCGTAAGTGTTTCTCCTGGCTGATTTTCTTGTATAAAATGAATACGTTTATAAAAAAGGCCCAGTTTCTATGTGGCCCAGCCAACTTATGTAGAAATACGGGCCTATTAATAAATCTATATTTGAGATGGATTTTTGGACTTGATATTTTAAGGACATGTAATCTCTAACATGGAGATCATGAATATGAAATAATAAATAAATTTTAAAAACTAGAAATAATAATTCTAGTAAAAAAACATTTGGAGCATTAGTTTTCATTGTTTTTAGATGGAACACCTAACGGTATCCATCTTTAAGATGGATGCTTTACACTTTTTGGACCGCATATGTAGAAATGCGGTCCAACCGGCATGATACAATTTTCTGTATTATTAAAGATTCTCTTTCATTTTGTCGACATGATTGTTTTATAACATTGATGTCTTTATTTGCGCTTATAGAATTTTGTCTATATGAGTATTTCATTTTGAACGTATTGAATTTCAATTAACTAAAACTGCTTATAATTATCTCATGATAATCTTAATTTGAAATATAACAATGCCTTCTTTTCTCATTGTAATAACTAGGAGTCAAGTAACTCTCCTTGTTATTTTTTAATTGACAATATCTCTTTTTTTGGTTCTTCACTGCATAATCATGCCACGCATAGGCAAACATCATCATACCCAAGCACACAAACCAAAATTAAAGCAAACAATGAAGAAAACTTAGAGTCTACTATGGAAAATATCGTTTACCCAATAACAATTCAATACACCTCTTGAGATTATAAGATACCAGTTAAGAGGCTTGAAAGACGAATATATCTTACTAAATTTGATGCATGCAATGAATAAATTAATAGCATACTCTGGGAAATTGCTAGCTAATTTTGATCTTTTCAAACATACTTTCTCATATGACTTAAATCAATTCAATGAAAGCTTAATTGATGAAGAAAAATCAACAATATTATCAAAAAGTGTAGTAAACAATGTGGCAAACTATTATAGCAAGCAATAATATTATCAACATTATGTTGTTCTAGACTTTTCCATTGCAAATTATCTGTGCAATGACAAAGAAGGATTACAAAAGGAGCGGACAATAGCTTGATGTTGTGTGAACTTTCTTTTTCTCTTTTTGTACAAAGTCTTGGAAGTGAGAGATGAATCACAATAATCAGTTTTATGCAATGAAAAGATTTATTCAATCCAAGTGTATAAATTGAAGTAACATGTAAGCCACAATTTTTGATAAAAAAAAGATCCAATGAACCTAAAGGAACTATTGTTGCAAGTCTAATTGACAAACTTGAAATATTTCATAAGCCCATATTATAAATCGTTTAAAAATTGAAGACTAAATAAGTTGTCGTAAATAAATATGTTGTAATCAGTGTCTTTTACAACATGGCTAGCAAAATAAGTTATAATAAAAATAGAATTCACATATCAGTTAAGATTTTGCTTTTTTTGAGATATATGTTGTTGAGTAGAGTTGTTCAATGTAAGAACTATGAAGGTATAAACAAGAGGTTATTACCTGATTGCTATGAAGATTAGTGGTGTCTTCCTGTTTTATAGGTTGCTTGATTGCTTAGAGTTCGTTATTGTGTTAGCGATCGATCAAGTTCAGAATATTTAGAGTGCATGGGAATAAAGCACCTGATGACACAACGAATTTTTTGTTTTTTACATTTTTGGAAATGTTCTTGGTCGATCTCGATACCTTTTGCTTGTTTTGGTAAGCAGGAAAGTTTTGTATTTTAAATAAATATATATTTAGCGAAATATGAAATCCAGTGGTGTACATAACTTTATTTCAATGTTACAGACTTCATTGGCAATAGTTCCTATTAGTTGCTCCACATGTTTATTGAACATTGTAACCCTTAAAAATGAGTTTTGAGTTTGATCATCCCCAACGGTGGCTTCCACAATAAACCTATTACAAGTGAAAAATATAATGATTGAACAAATGTAAGGTATCTTTTTGTAGCTGTATTTGTACTAATTGTTAATTTTAACTGGAATTTTCATTGAAGAAATGGCATGAACTACATTTGAATGTTCCCACTATAGAAGTGGGTACAGCTTTCTAGCACTTTTTGCATCCCTCATATTGAGGATTTACCTTTTGTTGAACCAGCATGAACTGCATTTTGTTTTGTTGAGAGGGACCCAGGGGGCATATGCATCATAAAATGCATCATCAAATTGGCGGAGGACGATGACTTGAGAGTTGATTGAGAGATATCACTTTACAGAGAGATCGAGTAAATTCCAATGCATCACTGATATGCCTAGAGAGAGATTACATTCCAATGCATCACCGATTTCGGTATATGTGCAGGAAAATGCATCAGCTAATTGGCTCAGTGAGATCACTTAAGAGATGACTGAGAGAGGTCACTTAGAGAAGGAGATCATGAATCATTCAATTACAAGTAGCAAACCCATTTCCAACAGCTCTGAACCACAAGTAAATCTTTTACAACTTGAAAAGGTCCAATATAAACAATTCAAAAGAGTATGAGAGTATCAAGTAATAGAGTAAATCTTTTATAACTTGAAAAGGTCCAATATACACAATACACAAGAAGAATTATGAGAGCAACAAGTAATAGAGTAAATCTTTTATAACTTGAAAAGGTTCAATATACACAATACAAAAGAAGAATTAGTATACAAGAATGAAGTTGTACATCTTAATAACATGAACATCCTAATTCCAACCCCAATTCACAAAGTTGGTACCTGACCCTTGCCAAACCTCAATGGCCTGCTCATCTTTCCTAGCCAAAACCATCCTATTCCCACCAAAATCCAATTGTGTTATCTTACTTTGTCCCACTTTCTCTCTCCTCCCCATCACATTCTTCCTAAACACCCCCTCTTTCTCTTTACCACCCATCAAAACTTCAGACCACACCTCCACATTCTCACCCCTGCTGCAAAACACACTATTTCCATGCCCAACAATCTTAGAATTCACCCCTTCTCTCTTCCCATTTCCATTCATAACTTTACTACAACCTTCACCCAAAGAAACCCATCTCTCACTAGAACCCAATCTCCTCAAATCCATCATGTAAACCTCACCTGAAACCAACCCAACTTTGAAAAGCCCCCAAATACCATCATTCACTGTAACATCAGCAAAACAATCCTCATTTTCTTTGATCTCAGCAACCCTAGAGCCAGACCTTATATCCCATAATTTAATGGAACCCACGCAACCGAAAGGCCCGCTGTAGGAGCCAGAAGCCATTAAGAGGGCCTGGGAAGAAACCCAATTGAGCTTTGTAGCTGGAATTGCAGATCCAATCTCAACCCCCTGTTTCTCTTCGTGACCGAGGTCGATTAAAGGCCTGAAACTCTCTCTATCAAATACCTGTATCAGATTTGAGTTTTTTCGACAGGATTCGAAGCTTGCAAAGAGAAATTCAGGCGAAGCCCCAATTGCCTGCACTGTCGAGTAAATTGGGTTATCCCAATTTAGGGTTTTGATGCCCAATCCACTATTAATATCAAGGATCTTCACTCCTGAATAGTCTGAAGCTCCAGCGGCTGCAACTGAGGGAGAGAGAAAGAGCAAAGAATCAATGGCTGGAAATTCCGTTAAAAAACTGGTTTTTCGACGAAGGGACCAATCAAAAGCTGTAATCTTGCTTCCATGGCTGACCAAAACAGACCCGTCTTGGTGTGTGGCTATGGCTGAGGGAGAATCTCGGCCATTTATTGGAAGAATCAGAGTTTTCTGCAAATTCAGAGGGTAGAAAGAAGATGGGTCAGTAATTGCTGAAATGAGGAGGTGCTCTATATTGTAGAATTGGGCTTCATGGATCAGGTCTTCAGGATCTAGGACTTTTGCCCTAGAAGGAAGAGTACCAGTTCTCAACAGGGTCAGAAGGATAGAAAAAAGATCAGGGTCCCTATCAATGAAGGGAATGCTCCCTAAAGAAGAGGTGGTTAGGGTACAGAGGAGAGAATTTGGGCCAGCTAGGGTTAGGGTTTGTGGGCTTGTTTGGAAGATTTGGCCACCAACATTAAGGGTTATGATATTTGGGGTCTCTCTTTTTGGGTGGCAAAATTGGGTCTTTTGAAGGGGTGGTCCTGCAAAAGGAGGCATTAGGGCATATACCCTATAGAAGGCTTGGGGTACACTTCAGACCCACAAATATAGGATCTGGCCTGTATAAATTTGGAGAGAAAGAGGGGCCCGGCAAAGGCACAGAGAGGTGACCTGGAGGCTTGTGGTAGAGAGAGAATATATATAGAGGTTAGAATTGGGCTTCTAGAAAGTCACCCCCATATAGGTCAAAGCAATAGATGCCCTTTATTTTGAGGCTTCAATTTAGCATATTCTTGACTTGGTTTTTAACTAGTTGTAGACCATCATTCTTCATTTTGGATGATGCACATGGCAAAATAGAGGGCAGTCTTATGCCTTTTGACTTCTCTCATGAGATCGTGTACATAATAGACCACTTATATTTGGACCCGGTTTCTATGCGGCGAAACCCAAATGCGAGCTTTTTAATAAAATTAGTATTTTTTTGATAGATTTTAGGACTTAATTTTTAAAGATACGTAATCTCCAACATGGAGATCATGAATATGAAAAAAATAAATAAATTTTAAAAATTAAAAATAATAATTCTAATAATAACCATATTTGGACAGTTGGTTTCTATTGTTTTTATATCGAACACCTATTTGCATTCATATTTAAGATGGATGCTTTACACTTGATGATTTTAGGACTTAATTTTTAAAGATACGTAATCTCCAACATGGAGATCATGAATACGAAAAAAATAAATAAATTTTAAAAATTAAAAATAATAATTCTAGTAATAAACATTTGGACAATTGGTTTCTATTGTTTTTATATCGAACACCTACTTGTATTCATATTTAAGATGGATGCTTTACACTTGATGCTTTACACTTTCTTAACTGCATATGTTGAAATGCGGTCCACCATGCATGAAACAACTTTTCTCTATATTTATCTTATTATACAATGAGATCGCAATTGTTTATAATCGTGCGATGTGAAATTTGATAGCTTGAGTGTGTTACAAAGTTATAATAAATTTCTTTTGAACTTTGTGTTTGGTCAATGGAATAAATTGCGACCACCCAATTTCACATCCAAATGTCAAGATTAATTGTGACCACCTTATACAAAAGATAAATAGTCTCATTATATACTTTCCCTTGTTATTAATATTTTTTAATAGAATATATATATTTAGTTTAATCAAGACTAGAATGCTAAATTGATGTTGAGTCTCGACCATTAAATCTATTTTCTCTATTTTATTTTATTATTCTTCCAATTTTTCCAAAATTTTGATAGAATATTTTCAATAAAATATATGTTTTTAGCTTATATTCAACCATCTAGCCATGCAACGGCACTCATCGACAAATTTGGAATCCTTGTTCAATAGTAGTAGGATGATATTTTAAATATCATGCACATATGTAGATCACGATATATGTCTTTTAAGATTGTTCTCGAAGATGAGGAGGTTGTATTTCACATTATAGAATACAAAGACAACAAGGAGCCAAAACAAATATTTTCTTGTAATTATTATTTTTATAAGATGTCTCCGAAGAGACATCCGATAAAAATAAATACCTTAGATATTGGAACTGAACTCCCAAATGAATAATGAAAAAATCAAGAGAAATTATCGCTAATATACCTATATTTTAATAAAATCGAAAAAAAAAACCTCCAATTTTTCAAAACCTCGCCTACACCATTTTTCCCAATTTTTGGCTTTTTTGGATGAAAATACCCTTCACGGTCGTCTTTTTACTGTAAAGAACATTACGGTAATTTAAATACCGTAATAAGCTGAAGGAATATTATGGTATTTAAAATACCATAATACCTTAAAGTAGTATTACGATAATTGAATTACCGTAAAAACATTACGGTAATTTAATTACCATAATAACATTACGGTAATTTAAATATCATAATATGTTTGAGTGTTACGGTAATTAAAATATTTTAATACCTTAAAGTAATATTACGGTAATTTAATTACCGTAATATTGCTCAAGCCTCATAACAAAAGATTTTCTACTCTTTTTAGTCTACTATCTATTTACTCCTTCGACAAAAATTCATGCTAGCTGTATTTTCTAAATCTCAAATTTTAAGATATAATATCTACTTAATTTTTATATGGTTCACAAAATTTTAGAACAAAAACACTCTTAAATAGGTATTTTTGAGTGAGGGAATAGATCTATAATCGTGCTCCCATGAGAACACGGATTTTTTGAAAAGAGAGAGGGGTAACCCTGATATTAGCTTCGA